CTCCTGGATATCCCTGGATATCCTCGAGCACTCTATAGGCACCATGGAAGCAGTTTGCATCCTTAACGTAAGGCGGTGACCATTTCTACCCTTTCGGATCTGGTCGAAATTTTCGTTGCAGCTACAAAGGCTTCCTGACACTTTTTCTTTTCGTAACTCGTCACGTTCTCGGGGCACTTTGCTTTTTGCGAGGAACTTCGTAAACTCAAAAATATGAAGGTTTCACAAAAAGTATATTTATTATGAAAATAATTACAGCAACGAAGCATACGCGGAGCTCTCATCGTTCTCTGTGGGTCCCAGAGCGAGGACCATCAGTTTCCCTTGGCTAATTTCGCACTTTGCAAAAACTTATCCCTCCGTTCGCTAATCCCAAGGGCGGAGCCAGCCGCACGAGATCGTTATGTTTAATTAATTCATTTTTTCCATCGTTTCTACTCGGAAGGTACATTCACCATTTTAGTGCGTCCGTCCCTCGAGGATTAGCTAATATTATCACGTGATTGAAAGAATCCCTTACTTATTGAAATTGAATGTACAAATTTTGACGATTGTTTCGGCTGATTCGAAAAGTCACTAAAGAAATAATAATTTCAATGCGTATTACGTGAGACCTGTAATAGGTTTGGTTTGACGTCACGATATTGTTTGCCGTATTGTCAAGTTCAATTTGCGTCACTGCTGGTAGTACCAGCCTGGTCGTAGTGACCAATATTGAATTGCCGCGGCATCCAAGAATATTGAGATATTATGACATTAATGTCAAGTGCGTAAATAGAAGTGAACGACTGGTAAAAAAATTTTAATTGAATAGCATTAAATGGCCGAGAATGAAGAAAAATTTGTTGAAATCTTGAAAAGCTTAAGTCGGTGAGAAAACAATATTTGCATCTTGACCTGCATCCTAGATATTCTGGTCGCAGCTTCCAAATTAGACCCATATACTTTTACGCCTTTGCTGACCGCGCTGCTGGTATATAACTAATGAAAAAAGTTTTCTAACGAGAGAGTGAGAAAGAGAAAGATATTAAAATTTACATTTAACACAGTGTATAAGGGCGCTACCGTATTGAGGATTAGCTACGCATATCTTTCGTTTTTCCATTGCTATATATTTTTTTTTTTCCATAAAATGGAGAAAAAAATAGAAATTCCTGACAATTCTTAATTTAGAACGAACATTGGCGCCGGTCCAAAAATTCTACCCACATTTTTCTTCATTCCCAACGTTACGTTCGCTTCTACTCCTTACTAGAGAGTTATCCCTCGGGAGTAGTTCTCAAATCGTCCGCGAGTTGCGCCACCGTCTCGCTCCACCTCACCGAACAGACCCGCCACGTATCCTGGAACGATTCTCGTTTCGCAGTGACGCCTCGACTTTATTTTTCTACCAAGTGGAACAATTTTCACCCCATCCTCGCCTGTCCCATTCCGCTTTTCCATTTCACCCAATCCACCAGTCCTTCGAGCTGGGGTCCGTTTCATGGCAGATGGCTTGGGTGCACTGGTATCAGTGGTACTACCATAGGCTTCAGTATCAGTATTCTTCTCGCAGAAGGGGTGAATGTATTCCGGGTGGTAATCGTCGGGAAAAATTTTAGGGGCTGTTGTTTGTCGCTCAGAAAAAACTTTGACGTACAAGGAAGTCAGCGAAGTGTAAAACGCGTCGAGTGACGCCCCATACGAAGGAAACGAGGAAAGATGTTCAGGGGTAGAAATGGGGTGGTTTACCGCTTTACCAGTAAGTACGAGTCTAACAATAAGATTGAACCGCAATCTCAGTAATGGGGAATTAACGAGTTCCTGGGAAGTCATTCTCTTCTAATTTCAAGTGAGAACTCAGACTAGGCGAAATTTACGAAAACCACCATCACGGTACTCAAATACTTTCCGCGAGGGTTGTATTTTCGTATCTGATCAATGTTCCGAAATTTCTTGTTCGTACTTTAAATACAGTCTGGCCACAAGAATTTACTTAAATCTCAACACAAACGACAACCACTTATCCGTGCTATGTAGTTTACATTCGTCCGATTCCCCCTATCTATAGCATCAACGCTCAACGGTCTCTACAAGGGGTAGCAAACTAATTCCACCAAGTAAGTCACGAACGGTCTCTTCCTGTTCGAACGCTTTTACTTTAAGCCCTTCTTCGCGAGGGTGATGATGACTTTCAGTATTTCTGCCCGGGAAGGACTTTCTGGTAACGAGCTTTCGCTAATTACGCTGTCTGAGAGATTCGTTTCTCTAGATCAGTACTATAAATTCCACCCCGTGTTGCTTTACGCGCCCCCGTTTCGAAATGGGAATTTCCATCCCCTTAAATCCACCGCCTCTTATCGGCTACCTTTATAATACACGCCAAAGCCACTACTGAGCTTTTTTCAATTGCTAATGCTACGGTCCAGGCACAATGGTACCGACTTGCTTCGATATAAACTAAATTATCTAGTGACGCTAGGGTTGGTTATCGTTGCTTTTCGAGACGATCACCCAGGGTGAGCTTTTCCTACGACGGTCGTCCTAGGAAACTTTTTTTATGACGTCTATCTCTATATACATAGAGCATCCTTTAGCAGACTCCCTTGATGTGTACTTTACGTTTGCCCTTGTTCACCATGTCAAATGACACTTGTATCTCCTGCAACTGCACAGCTTTTGGCATAATCTCGTAAAATAACTCATTCCTTGATAATGGAAGTTCCTAGACTGAGGAAGTAGGCAGTAAATTTCCTACGGGAAATCTGCGGGATGAGGAGAGTAAAAATTTTTATGGCGTCGGATAGACGAGGTCGACGTCATATATTTAGGTATTATTGGCTAAACCTAAAATCAACCCCATGCGGGTATAAGACTTATGTCTCTGTTACGTGTGGACAGTGGATGGAAGAATCAAGCGTTTCCTCAGACTTCCGAAAATTGGCCAAACCATTATGGCCGACTAAACACAATAGTAGCGCAAGAGGTTGGGTCTAGCCGAGAAATTGACAAGAGAACGTTGATTAGGAGAATTGAATTTCGGTTTGTGTTAAAGTGGAACGTAAAAGGAAAAGAGGGAATGAGCGAATCAACCGGGTGAAAAAAAAATTTCTCCAAGGTACTGTTACGATAGTACGTAAATGTAAAAAGAAAATTTTTACTGACGTCAATCGACTTACGGGAAGTGCTTGATATTTTTGTTCTTTTTTTTTTATTATTTAAAGATGCAAATTATTGACACGAAAGGTAAGTGAGAAAAAGTCACATACCAAGCGGAGTAATTTGGAGGGATGCCGAAATCGGAAGCTTTTGAAAATTTCCACTTGGAATTTAAATCAGACCAGGATGCCTCTTCTGTTGGGTATCCGGGAAAGTTTTTCCAAAGACTGAACCGCATTGAAAATTCGTATAATCCTACCAAGACACGAACCGGAAGGAGGATCGATCGATAAGAACAATGGACGAAAAAAAAATAATGAAGTCTTGCGCTTCCGTGATTTCGTAATATTGAATGAGACGCGAAAGGGGATTCGAGAAGAGTCGAAGTAGTAATTCCAAAAAACAATCGTTGCAGAGTCGATACATGGACTGGGAACTGACCCGTGAAAATGAAGATCGAATTTGTAGATACGCATTAGGTACATAGCCAGTCATAAGGTGGAAGGGTAGAATCTGAGATTTTCATTAGTACCGGAAGTAGGAAGATCAGCCTCGATAGGGATGTCCAAGTAAATTGTTTATCATCTAAGGGTTACTCGGCGATCTTTCCCAAGAGTAGATCCAGCCCGGATTACTTCTGTATTATGGGCAGATAAGGTAATTAATCTTTGCTTAGATCGCAAGGGTGCCATCCCAAATAGGTATCCCGAAGATTGCTTCGATAAGGGAAAATTTTTTTTAGATACCTAAGAGTTCGTGTTCGATGATGATGGGAATTTTGATGCTTCGGATGGATATTTCATTTTCCCCGTAGAGATAAGCTACCACGCAAGAGCCAATCACTGAATTTGTACAGACCACCCTTCGCCCTTAGAGTCAACAATTTATCCATGGCAGCCCTAAATCTCGCAACTGTAACAATAGAATTATAGATCTAATTTTGAGCTAGCCCCGAAGACGAATGTTTTTCGTTACAGGAAAGGGGCGGTTGACTACAACCCCTGGAACACGTCACCTTCCGGTGGTGTTCTGTTAACCATTGATGATTGATTCTTTTAATTAAGGTCTAGCCCGAGGGTTGAAGAAGTTCAAGAACAACCTTTGCTGATCTGAAAGTGAACTCTGACCTCAGACGTTCGTCGCTAGCGTTACTAGCAGGTTCGTTTTTACCCAACAATATAAAACCATTTTGTATTTTTTTTACAAAATCCAAAAAACCCAGTCTGGCCGCGGCTATTGAAATGATGCCAAAATTTTATACGCGTGATTGTAAAAGTCCATAACGGAGTGTAGGGTGCTGGTAATGGGTCATCAGGAGCTCATGACGTCACTTCCGTAGTTGTAGCAAGCGGATAAGATTTCGCGTGTAAATTGAGGGCCGACAGGAAGTGGGAATGTGGGATTGTCTTTTGACGAGGGTCTACAAGCCGCCGCCAGACTACAAGAGGAAGGCCTTCGTCAAATTTTGATTAAAGTAGACACGTATCTGATCCCGGCATGTTCCGCCCGAGAAAAACGTTAATTTACAGGTAAAAAGGGAGTCGACGTAGATGAAAAATTTCTTTAACATAATATTCCTCGCTCTATCCGGTCTCCGGTCTGAATCATCGAACCAGATGAAATTAGGTAAGCCCGGGGTGCGGGTAAAGCCCAGCCAGAAGTATTCGAATAATTTGAAATTCCCCCGTCGAGCCACGACGTAGCCCAATCGAATCTTGGCTATGAAATCTGATTACGCCGGGACTTCGCGACTCCTGCGGGCGACTCAGCATTTTTCCAAACTCCTTTACATCCGGTTCCCACGTCCGCAGGGTTTCATGATTTATGGCGGTAAATTTGAAATTTCAAAATTACAGACTCACCTAGAGGATATCACCGGTACTGGCCGCCCTGGTCGTCTTCGTGGGTGGACCCAATCGATTGTGCGCGTCCATACGTGGCCTGCAGTAGATGATCTTGCGAAATGCCTTCCGGAAGTTGTCGCTCAGGAAGGCGTACAGGATGGGATTGACGCAGCTGTTCGTGTAAGCCAGAACATGGCTGACGATCTGGACCATCACGGCGGTTGGTGTCAGTGGATAATGCTCCAAGGATTTGCTCACCAGTATTATCTGAAAAATTCAAAATTTATAATTAAATTTTTTGACTTTCCTACTGTGCCCAATTCTGCCTCCCGACAAGAACACATAGTCGTCCCGACGAACTGGTATCAAAATATTTCAAAATTCCTTCCACGTTCCTGACCAATGATTTCCCAAAAGCATTGACTACCAGAATCCTTATGGAATAACAGGCTGTTACTATCACGGCAATACAACCTCCCATCATCCAGGACACATCCCCTGGGTAGTACGTATATCACCATGTATTTTCACAAGGAGATTCAGATGTATATATATATATATATATATATATATCATTCAAACTAATTGCTTACCTGCAAAGGACACCAACAGATGGCGAAGACGCCAACGACCACCAGGACCAGTCTGGTGACTCGTTTCTTCCCGCGACGACTTTCAGCGCTGACGTGAGCTCCTCTCCATAGTCGTAGAAGCATGCAGATGTAGAGGCCGCATATCAGGGCCAAAGGCACGATATAGCTCGAGAGAAAGAACGTCAACTGGAAGAGAGGCCAGTTGAACTCGGGCAGAATACGGCAGGCCGTCAAAGTTTGCGACGTCGAGTTGTACGAATCCTGAAACACGAAGTGTATCTGCATACATAAGCGATGGGTATCCCAGCACAAGGGAAAATGTCAGGGAAGCTATGAACGTGAATATACGGCCTTTCGTATGGTTATGTAATTTGGTTCAGACATAACCTAACCTACATAACGTTTAGGGTAGTCGTATACGAACGTAGTAAATGTGTCTGCATATACATATATACAGTTTGTATGTAACTACACGACACTTTAACGTGTCGAGCACGTGTTAACGATCGTACGTTGGCGTCGCGACGCTCCCGACGCAACTTTCTAAGGATACGCACCTCTTAGGCCGGCGTACCTCTGGGACAGCTGTTAAATCTCTACGTGATACGCGAACGTTTAAGGTTAGGAGGGTTTTATTGCAGATAGGGTTAGGTTAGGTTAGACGGCGTTAGGTTTCGGTCTTGGATGGAATAGGAATTTTTGACAAAATTTACTAGATATTATAGGGAGTGGTGCTGGGTTTATTTTTTTTTATAAGCAAATAAGCGCTTGGATATATGGCACAGCCGATGGGATTAATTATAAATAGAATTTCAGGCTCATCGATGCGACGCGCTTCTAGCTATTTTATGTGGGAATTCAATTAAATGGATTAATCTGTATTAGCTGGGAAATTGGACCCTGTTCGCGCTTTAGAGATTTTTTTGTATATTTTTTTTTTTCGTACCTTTTTTTTATTTATTCTCCCAGTTTTCGTGATTTATTTATTTCTTTTTCTATGCAATTTTCTAATTTTCATATTTCACTTGGTACCAGCCTTGACTTCATGCTGTACGCTCTGGTTAATACTGTCTGATCTATGTATTTGAGATGATTTATACTTGTGATTAAGACTATGACTATAACTATATATATATTTCCAAAGAACTGATATTTCAAAATTTCAAAATACCCAGCATCTATGCATGAAACAGGGGGTTACCGTCTGAAAAATTGAGATACCCAAAAAGTTATGTCAAAGAAAAGTTTTTGAGGCCAGAAATGGATTTTCGATCTTTACGCAAAGGGTTCCAAAAGAAGATGAGAAAAGTCGCGTGCTCCGCTGTCAACGAGGTCACTCGAAAATTCGTCACATCCATCGACTCTTGGCAAAGCTAACTCGAGATTCGATTTCACCGGACTTCCGGTTCACGCCGAAAGTCAGCTTTGCATACGTGTAAATTTTCACGCTTTAATATTATCTTATGAAATCCGCACTATTTCAGTATCTTACGGCTCGGCCGTTCTCGGCTCGTTTTTGGAAATTTTCTGACGTACGTGAAGCCTCGATGAAGGAGTAACGAGCCGTTAGTGTAAAAGAGGTCGCATGTAACTGGCTCACCTCGCCGTGAATGATGATGACTGGAATGGAGGCTGTGAGAATGACGACCCAGATGATGCATATCGCAAGGAACGCGTGAGCTTCCGTTCTAACGGACATGGAAGCGATTGGATGCACTACGGCGAGATATCTGAAACAGGAGAGAAAAGCTCAATTAGTTTATCGGATATTCATTAATCGAAAGCTCCGAAGCTACCTGAGGGAATGCGCGTTCATGGCTGTACGAGCAAGGAGTGGCAGTTGGAAATGAAAAAGAATATACAAAAAAAGAATTTATTGCTCAAGAGAATCAAGAGAGAACAAAAAATAGGAGCTTAATAAGTTCGTGCTTTTTGGTCGTTCGTTAGGAAATTATGAACTTTTTTTTTCTTTTCATACAATGCCGCGACATATAGAACCAGGTGATTGTAGTTGTTTGGTTTATTGTGAAAGCTCCTTAAGCTTTTTATAATGAAAAAAGTTGAGACAAAAAGCTTCTCCCTCGTTCGTATGAAAATTCGTGTACTGCCGTAATGACTTTTTTTTTCACGTCTGATGATGACATCGTTGACACAAATTCAAAGTTTATACAGTAATTGACTCTTATGATAATGCCGAACCCAAGCAATGTATTTGCCTGAAAGTTTTTGATTATTCAGAAATCGTGCTGGACTTGCACGGCTTTAGTTATTTCGGTATTTCGAACTTTCTGTACATTAATTATGCTTATCCAGTGGGATGTGTGCTTTTGTGAACTCGAATTTCTAACTTTCATTTATGCTACGTTATTATGGCTGTTCCTGTGTATATGTATATATATATATATATATGTACGAATTGATAACCGGAGACAGGGCATTATAAAGCTTGATTTATTTATATCAGCTCAATTTTGATTTTCGCCAAAAAAAATAACAGACGTCTAGGATTACATTTCTATACTATCTTAACCCAGCCTATCAATTACCAATCCCACCACGAAATTCGAGGTGCCTAGCAGTGTAAAAATTTTGGAAATTCGGTTGGAATGTAGATTTATGAGTCTCAAAGCATATACAAAATTTTAAAGACCGATATCAAAGTAGATTCAAGTCCTCGAAGCGGCCAAATACATATGGTGAACAGACCTCGAAATATTCTTTAGTGATATTTATTATCAGACATTATGTTTTCTTGATAGATACAATGAATATAATGTACGTAATTTATTAGTAATACTGTATAATGATATTATCAGTAATAGAGAGCAGTTCGGTCGGTCTCTAATTTATTAGAATGAGGTGATACGATAAAGGCAATTTGGCTATAAATTCGATTGAGCGTATCAGCCGAATTTCGAAAGCTCATAGAGCCTTCGTGATTCGATAGAGCTTTCGTAAGGTTCAACTAGTTACAGCTTAAGCCATCATCTACGGTTGGGATTGTACGCTATTGATATCGCTCGAAAGCTCAATGCTACTAATCTCGAACTAAAACAAAGGAAAGCTCTGGGCACATTCGGAAGCTCGTATATCTCTGGCGTAAAAAATTGCACGCCCGGGCATGTACGTTATTCCCGTTCCCGTATGTCTTTAATATTTTTCGGTTGCCGGAAAAATTGAACACGTAACCAAACAAACCCATTTCGAAAAATTTGAAAAATTCGAGTTCAATTTACGAGATTCAACGTAATATAAGCTTTTAATTTTGTTTATAAAAAGTGTTGAGCTTTTTCAATTTACTCGCAAGCTCTTCACCTCCCCACTGCACGTATTTGCTAATTTCTAATGGCGCAAAGCCCGTGTTTATTTGCCAATCGGATCCCGAGTAAGAGCTTGCGAAAAAGCTTCGAGGAGCTTTGAAATATCTCAGACTTGAATAACAATCGTTTTCGTCGGGACGTCCTCAAGACTCTGGGTTCCCGCTTATTCCCCCAATTTTACGTGAACTCAGTTTCGCAAGCTCAGCTGAATATACGTGAAACACCCAAACCGAAGTAAGCTTCACGGGAGAGTTTGGACTGGGCGAAGTTAACGTTCAACTCAACATGCTGCAAGCTGCCAATTTATCCTGGAAGCTTTTGCGTATATTCCCTTTTATTTTTGCACATTTCACGAACGCATTTTCTCTCTTGCGAAACTTTCGTCCATCTCTCACCCGAGCTTTTACACATACGCTTTTTTATGTCGTGAAAAAAAAATATATATATGTATACACATACACGTAAAATGCCCTCGGCCACATGCCTACACTCCGCGTAATATCGTAATGGAGTATCATGAAGCTTTTCAGGTTATATTTTCAATACGTCGCACATGCTGAATCATAAATCAGCATTCAAGGTTCGGGGAGAGTGTGAAAATTCATTTTTCGTCAAATTTTTCCCGTACGAGAGACGATACTTAAAAATTAGATAAGGGTTGGAAAAAGTTTTTTGATATATCCCCAGACACTAAGATATAAAATATATCACTTCGACTTACCTGTCAAGGCTCATGAGAACGAGGGTGTACACGCTGGCGCAAGCTGTCACGATTATTAGGTACTGTACGCCCTTGCACCATATATTTCCAAAGGGCCAAAAAAGCATAACGAAATCCGTGGCCGTGAAGGGTATGCAGAATATGACAAAAAGAAGATCAGCTATCGCGAGATTGATAATCAGGAGATTGGTAGTTGATCGCATTCCTGGATTTGCCGCCACGACTACCACCACAAGTGAATTACCAACCAAACCGAGGATCCCGATAACACCGAAAAGCAGGGGCACCACGACAGAGACGATACCCTGTAGCTGTTCGTCAAATTCAAAACCAAATTCTTCGGAGCCACTGTTGTTGAAAGTGCACACAGTGCTGTTGGACACGTTGCACACGGCTACCATTTTTAAGGCTTAGAAATTTTTTTTATTCGGTCAAGTAAGCTTCGTGCCTATGAGCTTTCACTCCTTTTTTTCTGACCTTAAACCGAACTCTTGACAAAGTCCGATTTATGCTCATTAAAGCTTTTTTCGAATTTAGATTTTATTTTATTTTTTCCCTTTTTTTGTCGTTCCTTATATCCTCCTCGTCCTTCTCACGGGTCTTCTTACTCTTTCAGGACATTGCGATACAATTTTCCCGTAACTTCGCTTCTGTTTGTCTTCCAGTAAAGTTGCACTTAGGATGTATTCAAAAATAAAAAAAAATGAAAAAAAATGAAAAAAGCTCTGCGTCCAACACTCACAAACTCTTTACTTAGGACACCGGATTACGTGATATCTGCAAAATATTATATGACGTTTTATGAGGGTCTAAGGATCCCGTTTTACGCGAGACAGTGAACGCCCGGCCCTGTGAGCTTAAAAGCTTTTCCCACTTGTTCAATAGAGACATACGGATCGTGCCTAGTTATTACCTCAAGTTGTCAAGATCAGATTTCAAGACGACATCGTATTCATCGCATCTATGAAAACCCTTCCAGCTTCAATGAGATCGATACGATTTTTTTTTCAAAAAAATTTAATAATTTCTAAAGTCCCCATTTAATCCGTCATACTGAAAAGCTCCTTCACTGAATCTCAATAAATAAGGCAGTACAGTCGAGTGCTGAGAAATTCCGCTAGATGGCATTCACGTTCGAGCACTTAGAAGCTGATATTCCTTATGAAGAAAATAATATAAAAATTCAAGTAATCAAAATCATAATCAGTGCTCCATTGAATTTACGGCTGACAGCTAAAAGCATCTCTGTCGTACGTAATTTTACGATAACTTATCCTGAATTTATTACAGATTCAAATGTGGCAATAGCAATCACAGCGTGACGTCAGTTTTAATTAATGGCCGACATATCGGTTACGCATAGCAGTCCGGATTCTCCGATAGAAAAAGAAAGAGATTTAAAAATATTCTCAATCAAATTTTAACTTTGATTCTACGTACCTTCTTTTTGACACACTTTTTTTTCATCTCAAATACTATGTAACAAATCATACAATTTTTCATAGATGAAGTTGTCTAATATATAAAAAAAAAATTCAAAATTTTATCATGGACTGGGTCTTATCACCGCACCACCCTAAGACGATTTAACGTGAGAAGATAAGAAAGCACGAATTTCTTGTGCTCACAGACATAGAGCTTAAGTCTGAATTATATTTAGTTTTAACGTTCTATGGTGTTTTCTTGGCTTTTGCATTTTTTTTCCCCGTTGTTTATTGTTAGCGATACAATGGGGGCTCGTTATCGTTATCGTAAAGCTTAACTTTTATTGTACAAGCAACACGGCTTAAATAACTAGTAAGTATGGCATCAGGGCTAATAGCTATTTAAATTTCAACGAAGAGTGGATATACTTAATGGGGCATGGCTGACGTTGATAAATCTCGAATCTCTAATGGAGGACATTCGAGCATTAAGTATATATGGTATCGGTTGGTTTTTGGGATAAGAAAAAAGTGTCATGGATAAATGGCAAAATAGGGATTTTCGTTGAATTGAATTTTTTTACGGATATCCAGATAAGTCACGATGTTAAATTTTGCTTTATGACTTATGGAATGCTGACTGACACTTCAATTAGGAATTTTTGTATTTCAAGCAACAGCCATGTAGGATCTATTAAACTTGTCATAATATAATTAAATCACGCTTGTAACTCAGGGGGCTGGTTATCATCACTGTCACGCGTATCCTACATAGGTACACGGTTATTCAGGACCACCTGAATATGGTTCTTTCCAATTGATTTTTATTAAATTCCAGGACAGAACCACCTTCAGGTAGTACGATGGTCCTGAATAAACGTGTAGACCTCTCTCTATAGTAATAACGAATTTTGGAATTTATATCCGAAAAAAAAACAATAGTTAATAATTCATGTAAGCTCACGTTGAGATACTGCCAACGGTAGACGTCTAATCCGTGATATCATTGAAAACGAATGAATCCTGATTATGGCACATTTTAGTTTGTTTTTTTTTTACCACGTAGTGATAAAATTTTTCACTGAACTTGTCGTTTTCCCTTTTTTTTTTACTTTTTTTCTGCGGTTACTTTCTTTGATTGGTATAACTCTCGTGTGAATACGTGCGGTAGAGCAGGGAAATCGTGGTCGCGATCATTTTTGGGAAATTTCATGGAATAATTGTTTTTGGGTAATATAGGTAAAATAGAATATTTTCTTTTTCTTGAAAAGTAAAAAAAATAAATTCAACGTAAATTTCTAAGGATCACTGTGGATTTTTAATTTAACCCAGAAACACCTCCGATGGAAAATTCATACGATCGAGTGGGATCTGTTCGCGAGAATGAAAATTTGGATTTTTATTTCGATTCTGTCACGTGTCTTGAAAACTGTCTTACAATCAGGATCCTTCCGGTAAAACGTCGTTGACGATGGATACGGCGCGACTGTCTACCACGTCGGTGAACCAAGAAGCGAAATAAAGTTCCCGACGCTGATCCTGGGGTCTATGCATGCGCTACGCGCGCAGAACCAACGCGTGCTTTACTCTCGAAACGGCTCTGACAACTTCGACATGCGTGAGAGTCGAAATAGTCCGAGTGGATAAGGTAGTGTTCTGATTAGACGAAAGCTGATAGGCATGAACTGGGATAAGAAAGCCTCCGCATAAGGTATACATACGATTGGAAGTTTTCATCATGTGCCGTTCGTCGGTAAGGTAGGAATCGCGAAATTTCCTAATTCGTTACCTACTGACCCGATAAAAAGGCTCAACGCTGTCGGTAACAATTTTCATCAAGCGTATAATAACTAAATGTGCAAAAACTCCTAATTATTTATCTGCCTACAAATTGATCTTAACATAACCATATACACCCACGGGTATTTAATTCAAACGAATTTATTTGGTGCACACTAGAGTAGTCTACGGTGCATTAAAATTCGCTAAATATAGCACAGCATCCAATTCATCATCATCACGATACTTATCTCGTAAGATAAACGTTGAACCAGTAGTTACAAATAAATCGTTGACATAATAGCAACGCGTATTACCTCACGTAACGTTACGAATCCACGCACATGGGGATACAATGGACTAACCCAAATCTTCGAAATTCTCCCAAAAATGTGTGCAACCCTTAAAAAATGCAATTCGTTCTGCAAAAACCAAAGTAAAATCCATCGAACCAACGAAGAGTTTCCGAAAGTTTCCGGTCGTGCGTCCGGTATCCATTAAAATAACTCAATTTATAAAGAGCCCGAGTGGACCCTGCGTCAGAAGGGGGTGCTTTTGTGTAGCAGTCATCTCCGTTAAAATCGGGGTGAAAGTTGGCCAATAGAAAGAAGAGGGTAGTTTTCGATGGTCCCACGATCGAGGTACTCAGTTGGAGTCGGTAAATCGGTTGGAGTATAATGCTGTGGGGTGGTGGTGGTAAGGGATGAAAAGTAACGTGTGTGTCTCCGAATGGAATGTGTGTACGCATGCAGAGAATAGAGCGAGAGGGTGACGGTAAAGCAGGAGAAGAAAGTCTGCAGAGAAGCGTGGGACGAATGGTGGAAATTGCCGATTGGGTAAATCAAGTTAGGGGTTAGGCGCCGGACAGTGAATTGGATTTTCCGTGCATTGATTGAAAGTGATATTTTATTGGATATCGGACAATGGCCGCCAGTACCCTGGCACCCCTAGATAGCAGCGAAACCGCAAGCCTCTATCGGTGGCAGCCAAGCCAATGATTTTCAAACCCTCAATCCCAAGAATTCTGATCAATTAGAGAACAGCTCCTTCTGCACCGACGACATTTACGGTTTCATTGGTGCGCAAGGGTGGCGCCACGTGGTGGCGCCTGCTACGAATTTTCGGGATCCTTCTTAAAAACGACCAGGCGTCACAAAAATAAGGGATGAAACGAGAACGCCCGACGTAACGTATAAACCTTGGACATTTGTTTGACCCATCGCCACAAGCTCAGTGCGTACCGTCAAACGTGACGCTTCCGTCCCTACTTTATCTTCCTGGTCTTGAGGGAAGCCCACAGGTGCCATAAAAGACACCACGGTATCCTGTTTTCCCAACCACCCTGATGGCTGCTCCGACTTCGCTCGGCTACAGGACCCATTTTTTATCTCGGTCATTTTACCCCAAGCCTTTACGGCCACCGGCTTCAAGCGTAAAACATTGACGATCGACTGGGGCACCGTAGTACCCCACTTTGCTACGTCCACATATAAATTTCGTGCCATTAACGTGTTTCCATTCTATAACACTCACTTAACCCGTTCGCTACGGCAGTCCGTTTCGCGGGAGTGGCGCCACTGAGCAGGGCACTGCGCTTACGTTTTTCAATGGCACTTTGGAATTGTCTTGTATGCATACTTTTTTAAGAGTTATGTAACTGTTTCGTCATATTATATAGAAAAACATAAAAATGAGTATATCGTGGGTATTAAGAAATTTACATATTAAGAAAGTAGTAGATTCTGTGCTACCAACGAAGTCAGCGTAGGTGGTCTCTCGGCCGCAGACTATAGTCGGCGTCCGTAGCGAAAGGGTTAAACCGTAAGTTTGACCCCTTCGCTTGAAATTTTCGGTACATCCGGTTGAACGGGGGAATAATGAGGACGAGCGAAGAAGAATTAAAAATCGAGAATCCTTTCGACGTATTATCATTTAAAAGATCACTCAACCCACCATCCACCCTCGAAGGTTCGACCATCTGACTTGTCCGAGGGGTGAAAGTACACTCACCTACTACACTGAAAATAATCTTTCGATTTTCGTGAAAATTCGTTTTGCGCCCTCTTCTTGTTTTTTATCCTCGTCACGACTTTTCTTTTCCGCTTATACGAAACAAAGAGGGAAAATAACATGAACTCGGAAGATAAGCTCTTAACCCCAAAATGCCCTTCGGGGTGTATTATCCGCGTGGGGGGATTTCCCTTTATAAATCGTTAGGATTCGCAGCTGACCGAGCGGACGAATTGAACTGGTAGTGGTTGAAGTTGGTCGTGGGTGGTTGCGTTACACTTTTGAGTCGTCTAAGGGGTGCCACGTTACTCGCGCAATTTTCATGTAACTTCATTTAAGGGTTTATTTAAGTTTAACGAGTTGCCGTGAGACCTTCGGGTTCCGAAGCGTCGCGACGATTCGGCGGCGTCCTTTCAGGGCTGGCTTCACCAAAACTAGCCGGTTGGCTGTATCTTTGTGAAAATAATTTTGTTTATAACTTATTCGTTATTTACAGTTATAAATTGCATATTTTCTTTTTCGCACAGCGCAGCCTTTTTTTTCCCTCGCTCCCTACCCTACCACCTCCCACTCTCTTATTTCATCCCTCCCAAGACCTACCCCGCAGGTAATACATTATCGCGACCGGCAATTATTATTAATTACCGTACTCTGATGGGGTGGGGGTGGGGGAGGTTACGCGTTTTTTTGCTGAAGTAGGAAAATACGGAGCAACACCCCACCAACCCCTTACTCAATTTATGTCGAGGACCGTAAGTAATCTAACGGTCGCCATTTCTTCTTTCTTTCCCTTTTTTTTATTTTATCACCACCCGTAACTTCCGGCCTGAACTGCAGCAGTAAAACCAAAGGAAGGCAGTTGTTACTGCCATGCCGATACCCAATAGTCAATAACTTCAATATTGCCAATTGGATCGTAAATGCGAGGTACGTCATTTCGACACTTTTGCGAGCCGCCTCATACGTATAGTATATCTCTATATCTGCATAGTTTTTCACGTCAAACGCAGCGGCTGAATTTGGCCGTGAATGGATGATTTCATGAATCGGAGGCAGAGCATTAAAGAAATGAAAGTTAACGTCGTAATATTTCCAGGATCATGAATTTCACGTTCCTTCATTTGTTTAAAAAAAAAAAAAAAAACCCCATTGCCTCGATAGCAAAACTGCTTAATCGCGTCCAACTTCAGTTGGTTCGTTTGCCGTGAACAACCCCTGTATCTCCATACCTAAACTTATCAGCTATCTCAGAAAATCCTCCTAATGTCGCAAGCTGATTAGCATTCAGAAGTATACGTGTTGACTTTTTTTTTTCTGTAAAAATCCTCTGGATTTCATGTTTTCAATTTCATGGAAAACAAATATATCGATCATTCGACATTCAAAATTCGTAGAATAACCCGAGCATTTACTTGCTGCCATGGTAAATAATAGTTCTTTACTAAATCCGTTGTCCAGTGATAAATTAAAGCTTGCAAGCTTAAGTCTGTAAACCGATGAAAGGGTTAAGGTGTACTTGCAAAATGTTGGATCGATAAACTGAAACTGAAAACCAGACTCAAATCCCATCTAAAGCTCAACTTCGGTTTAACGTCATATATATATGTATATATAATCTTACCATTTATTATAGCGTATTCCACTCCATTGTCACTATGGTCAAGCTTGATCCATATTGGATTTGTAAATCCTGAGGTCGGTGCGCCCTCAACCCGTTCATTTATAATTTAGCAACACCTAAAAGCTTCCGTCTAACGGCATGTTACTACCTCACGTTGTAAGTGGTATTATCCGTGAAAGACAGCCTTGGCACGCCTTTCCGGATTGCGATTCCTCTCCCGTGAATTTCATTACGGCCGCATACTTACCTGATAAAATGAACCAAGTAACGAGACAAAATAATGACGCTGCTGTTGTCAGAATTAAGATTCTTTTGGTAGACACGTGTTACGTTGTGAATTGACAAAAGATGGCACCACAGGGGTGACTTATCTTCGAGATATAAATTTATTTATAAATTTACTCATTGACTGTATGTTTCCCTGAGGGGATTCTGGAATTGTACTAAGATATATATAGCATGAACGTTGTACACGTCAGGATGTTAGATATTGAGTTAGTTGCGTCAGTGTTTCTTGACGGCGTCGATGATCGTCTGAGTGAGCACACTCTGTGCTATGTTCTTCACGAATCCTGTTAGCTGATCCCGAAGACCTGGTTTTTTTGGAGGAGGTGCTGGAGTCTGGTAGTTAGGATAGTTTTGATTGTAGTATCCACCGCCGTATTGATTGTTTCCGTAAGGTGCTTGTCCGCCAGATGGATAACCGGAAGGAGCACCAGGATAACCTGACGGCGATCCGGGATATCCCGATGGTGGTCTAGGATAACCGGACTGAACGGGTGGATAACCAGATTGGGATTGTGGATAACCTGCGTTTACTGTACCCGTTGATGTTCTTCGCATTTGAGATTCGTTACTGGGGTATCCTGAGCTAGGGTACCCAGATGATCCAGAGCTGGGATATCCAGACGATCCAGAGCTGGGATATCCAGACGAACCTGAACTAGGATAACGTGAGGATCCTGAGCTAGGGTATCCCGAAGAGCCGGAACTGGGGTATCCCGAAGAGCCGGAACTGGGGTATCCCGAAGAGCCGGAACTGGGGTATCCCGAAGAGCCGGAACTAGGATAACCGGACGATCCAGAACTAGGATATCCCGAAGAGCCGGAACTAGGGTAACCCGAAGATCCGGAACTTGGATAACCAGAGGATCCAGAACTAGGATATCCTGAATTTACAGGACTAGTCTGTCTTCTTCTTACTGGTTCATTAGAATTAATCGAAGATCCAGAAGACGGATAACCGGAAGAGCTTGTACCAGGGTATCCAGACCCAGCAGGATATCCCGAAGAGCCACTAGAAGGATTCCTAGAGGAACTAGATGGATACATAGAATACGACGGGTAGGCAGATGCTCTCAAACTAGGATATCCAGGGTAGGACCCTGTTCCGGAGGCAGAACTAGATTCGTTAATGGGATAACCCGAACCGGCTGGATATCCATGACCAGCCGAGGATCCTGAACTTCCACTGGACGCAGCTTCCGTTTCGCTTACGCTCTGCTTCTTAGACGTCTCCGTCCCACCTCCATTATCATTTTCTGCAAAAATTTCGTACGTTACTAATTACTAAAAGCTTGCAGTTCATCAGGTTCATCCGCGCATGCCGTACCAAGTCCAACACTGCTGACCTCGTTAAGTCTATTCAGGTCATCCTGAATGATCCACTTCATCTATGTACATCCTCGCATCTCATCCCTTAAATTTCCTGAGGGCCCTCATGCCGGTAGCCAATCAGATAACGCCCAAGCATTTCTCCTCCCTTATGCCGTCCGTACCAAATCTCAAGAAAGCTCATTCTCATCTCGGGTTAATCCCATTAAGGTATGTACAATAATTTATATATGAACATGCATCTCGATCACTCAATCCTTAAGTAGAAACAGCCATACTGACTCAGACGAGTATGAAGGTCCCCGGCAGTTTGTTTCTTGGCGATTAACGGATAAAAATGAAAGTATTATCAGATATAATTAATAGCGAATTACAATAGATAGAATAAGTGAAAAGCGCAATTATACAAGTTTCGTGTTCAGAAAGCTCATTATATTTGGCATATATGACTATTAATAGTATATATTAAGTACCGCATTATGGAAGGTACGTTAATGATAAAGGCACATTCGTAATCAGAGGAAACGGAAATGCTTCTCTCGGTGGCACCATTAAGTTTTTGGGACGAGTTTTATCGTGAAAATTGGCCTTGATAGCCGTAATTAAAATGGAGGATACATATTTTTGTGCGTAACAATATAGCACGAGTATAGTTAAGTAATAGCAATCTCGAGGATTCTCATTTGACATCTCGAAACCGAAGCGGTCTTGCGAGTAATCTTCTTGTCGCATTAAAGAAACATCCAGTTGTCTCTTGAATAATTTTTTTCGAAAGTATAATTGGAAGTCCGTCGCCATTAGATTATCCATTTGATTAATTTTCAATTACCATTTCGAATGTCAATTAACCAGAAAATCGCCAAACTTTATTTCCTTGATCGTCGGTCGAAGTGTGGGTCTTGTAGTAGTCATCTCCTGAAGAGTGACCGGAAGTGGAGGATCCACCGTTAGTTCCATGACGTCCACCGGAAGTCTTTCCTGCGTTATCAACATCGTTTCCAAAAAGACGACTCCAGATGGAACTGGTTCTAATCCTGTTCCGGTTCCCTCCGTAGGATGATGACCTTGGTGGAGGTGTAGGTGGCGGTAGTGTAGTTCGGTTCACCGGATATGGTCGTACCCGAGGATACGGTCCAGGTCTTCTTGCAGACGGTGCTGTCGACGGTACGTTAACTCAACCTTACTTATTTGCACTCAATATTCTTCTTTCAATATTTTGAAAAAAGGGATATCACGAAAATCGAATTTCTTACGATTTCGTAAAATCAGACTCAAATTTGATATTTTTCAAAAATCAAGTATTTGCCTTCGCGTGAAGTTTCGTCTTACGAAATTAATCGATCTTTTGTACGTATTTTCTCAAAAAAACGTGCAAATTTGGTTAGCTAACCTTGAAAGAAATCTTTTGACCACAACCGCTTTTAACCTACTGCGTATTTAACCACGTTCTTGCGGTCAGGTCCGGCCGCGAGATAACGTCACGGCAAAGTTCATAGTGATAAGATTGGGTGCCGCGACACTAACGTATGGCTTCTGCTTTTTCTCAATATGTCTTATAAAAGTAATTTGAAGTTGCGTAATTTACTTTCAATTTTGAATACTGGGATAAATACAGAACAAGCGTAATGACCCACGTATTTTCTAGTAGAAATAACTGGCTTTTTTTTTTTAAATAGCGCTGAAATACATCTAGCCTTACGATGAAATTTTTAATTCATTTATAAACTACGTGTTTCCCTTTTTTTACTATCCAAATATGGTAATATTTTCTACGTCACGTAACAATTTTAAATCTTGATTTTTTACCAAAAAAAACAAAGTATGACGATACAGCAATTTTTTTACTATTGCCATTGCAATTTTTTCTACTCTGATTGTATATATATATATTTTTATCATAACAGTAGTAAAAATTACTACGTTAAGATAACGAAATTTCATCACAGCATAATTCCTCCATAGTAAGCTAAAAGTGTTATTCTCAAATTTCAGTTGGTCTTAAATCTTTTTAATAACAGCATTTCCGGTTGCCGTGTAGCTTGAGATGACATTGTGTAACGATAACACTAATTTAAAAAATAAACTGTTGAAAAATTAATTTTTACTACTGACAGTAATTTTTATTATAATTATCAAATCTTTTTTTTACAGTTATAAAAATTACTGCGACTCGGTAAAACCTAATGTAATGTCAAAATATTCCAGCTGGGCTTCGAACGTAGTAAAAGTTATTGCCGATTTCTGGTGAAACATACTATACAATTTTCACCCTCTACCACCCACTCCCCCTCGACCCACGTTCCCATCGTAATTCATCCCTCGTTCAATGTCTGACTGAACAACGCAACCGCTGCCATTTTATCATTAAACCGGGTTTGATAAGAGATAACGAATAAATAACTCGATTGCCCTACTGAACTTCAGTGTAATGTAGGACGTACGCGTCTGGATTGGCGCTTTGCACGGAGTTACATATATTACATATAGAAAATATACAACTATAGAGAATACGCGAGTAATTACAATTACAGGTAAATATCGTACAGTGTAAAATGTTTTTTTTTTTTTTCTAATTTACAAAGCAACATGCGATGCTGGCACTAGAATGGAAAGTTCATCCGACGTGAAAAAAAAAAAAAAAAATTGACGACGCTCATATAATGCCCAGAGAATTGATTTATCTCGTTCAATTCTATTTTTAGTTGGAAATACGATTTTTCTTGTTCTGCTTCAATGTTTTCTTTTTCTTCTCCTACAACAATTCTAAGGAACGAATTTGAGCTGATGCTGCGTGCCGTTTGGACGAAGATGAAATTTCCTATCTTAGACGTTCGCACGTGTACAGAATTTGTCTCATTCAATGATGTCTTCTTATTCATCAATCTTACGATTAAAGCTCAAGAGCGGCTACAGTCACACGGTAATCGCACTCGTATGCAATTATACACTGGATATCCTCGAGCCCTCGAGTGTCAAATTCAAACAATTACAACAACCTGACCAAGACTTTTGGATAACTCTCAAAGTATTTTTGCGCGATCCGATTCTTTCAAAATTCAAAATAGCCGATCCAACCAGCTGATCGAAAAAAAGCAAAAATTATAGAATTAGCGTTTGGCATTGTTACTGAAAGAACCGTGCATTTCTCAACTGTTCGAAAATAAACAATTTGTCAGACTTCGTATTCCAAAAAATCTCAAAAAAAAACCTCAAGATACCAAATTTCATGAAAATCAAAATAATTTAAAAATCTCTTTTTTACAATGCGCCATTCCTGGTTAGTTTGGGATTTGTCGATATATCGGGTCAGTGACACTCAAGGATCCGGGTAACGTATCCGAACAGGATGAACTCCTGATAACCGATAAAAAGAAGAGTTCAAAGGAACGACAAAAGGATCTTCCTGCAATTTCTTTAAATCAAATCACGAACGATAGTTCACGATTACGGACACTAGGGTACAGAGTAAAAGGAACGTCGATAACGACCCAGGCGCCACAGCCTGCGCGTCGCTCTTGCGATAACCCGAATTCAGGTTGTAATTGTGACCGCGATTCGAGTAAGGATAATTCTGATGACCAGGATACTGTCCAGCGGGATATCGCTGTCCCGAGCCACCGGGATACTGTTGCTGTGGATATCCCGATTGTTGAGGATAACCAGGATAGCCGGGCTGCTGAGGATAGCCAGGATAACCAGCGGGCTGAGGCTGCTGAGGATAACCAGGATAGCCGGGCTGCTGAGGTTGCTGAGGATAGCCAGGCTGCCCTTGAGACGGATACGAAGCCTGCGGATAATTGGTTTGTCCAGGAACCGGCATACGATTGTAAGTCGGATAAGGCGGACGAGCAGCTGGATATCCCGATGCGCTGTTAGAGGAACTGGGATTGTAGCCGCTGTTGCCGCTCGAGCTTCCGGTTCCGCTTGGAGGGTATCCCAAGTTCGTCCATGAATTAACGGGACGATCGTGTCCCTGCTGGGGCGGAGCGGGCGGCGCGTTAGCGTTTGCGTATGGATCATTGTTCGCATTCACTTTCGCATTCGTGCTCGAGGACTGCGATCCACGTTCGGCCGCGTTTCCACCGGCGCCATTAGTCTTGTGACCGTTCACGCTGTCCACGCCTGCCGATTCGTACTCTGCAAAATGCCGTTTCCCGGCCGTTCCGTCAAAGCTCGCCATAGCGTTGCCACAAATGCCTAACCACTGCCGTGTTAGAAACCTGTTTTCTTTTTCCATATCCTAAGGGTAAAGGTCACAGTGGCAGGATACGTCCCAGTTACCAGACAAAGCGTGCGTATGCAAAAGAGATCTTCCTTCCGATGCTCAGCTTTATCTCCCTAGGGAGCAATTACCAGTGTAGCCTTAGTGTGCAAGGGAAATGGAAATGCGGTTTCTACGTCCAGGGTCCGGAACCATAGCGTTCGGGTGTCCAGCCACTGGGACGTTTATCTTGTTAAATCAAGTGAGGAGGTGTACAACTACTTTGTGCTCGTGCAATTTTTTTTTGTCGTGCTTCGGGGAAAGGAGTCGTTTTTTTTTTCACACGTGGCATTCTCATCATCACCCACGCACACTGGTGTCTATTATCGATAGGATTAAGCGTGCAGACGTTCGCATAGTCGCGCACGTGAAAATGCGTACGGAGTCGAACTTCCGGTTCCGTAAGCGTAATCTGGGGACGGGTGTAAGGGGGACGAAGGAAACGTAGAGTTACGGAGTTTCCTATAGGGGGGTTTTAATGAAACGGATATAGGTAGGGACCTCTGATGATTTTTTAATTAAATTTAGTTATTGAATGTTGACTATCTGTTTATCGACTATACGTATAATCTATACCGTTTTCTTGGAATTATTGACAGTGTTCTTTTAACTTTTTACATTTTTTTTTTCACTTAAAACACCAAATGCCCTACTTGAAATATTTTTTCATGAACCCCTGATGTAAATTTTGGATTATGAAGTCAACCTCCAGTCACTCTCCGTCCCTTGTTATATACACTGTTTTCACGTGTTCCTCTTGAATAAACGTTTTGTCGCGCGATTGCCAATTGATTTTCGTGAATGAATGGACGTTAATTTGTCGAAAATTGTCGAAACGGTAAATAAAACGTACGCGCTTGTTGACACAAATACAAAATGCTTGGATACACATTTTTTGTTTCATTCTAATTACTTATCCGTTTTAACCAATATCAATAACATCAAGGATCGAGGATGCTGGCAACGCGATAGCAGAAGCTATTAGGTACAGTAGGCGTGCGTTTGAGTTAACACTTTTTTTTTAAAGATAACAACGAGACCACAGCATGCATAATTTCCCAGAATAAGGATTCCATCACCAGGATATGTACAATAGTCACCGAGTGTGGCAGCCAATTGAATTAGAAAAAAATACGGGATCGATACTAAAAAATGTCTATCACATAATCGCTTCTATTTCTTCATCCGTAGCCTGAACGTCTCTCCCTAAGAATTAAGCCCTTTGTTTCGCTTCTGTATCCATCCCATACCTTATATTCCAAGCCGTATCAGATGACACAGAATTATATCCTGTGCACATATATGGAAAATTATAAATAAAAGAAAAGTTCAATCGAACCGCATGCGCAGCACACTGCTTGGACATTGAGAAAAGGCAGAATATGCTGATGAATTCAAAGAAATGAAAAGAACATGATTATACACCAAAGAGTCCATTGAGGAAAAGAAAAAACCACATTTTTCCGGTTAACGATGGATTCGTCATTTCGGTGACGAATAAAAATTCAAAATTCGTATTTTTGTCGATCTTCGACACTTACCTTGATTGGGTGCCGTGCTGACACACGTGGGTCTGCCATTCTGCGACTTGCAGTATTGTCCGCTAGGACAGATCATAGTTTGACAGCTTTGCTCTGTAAAGTAAGGCGGTACAGTCGGATTAAAAAATTTCACTCGTCATGAATAATATTTATCGATCACCGATAATTTAATAAAAATACTCACGTCCAGATTCGGACGATCTCTTGCAAGTTGGATAACGTCCGCATTCCTGACTATATCCATTGCAAGGATCCTCGGCCATGACGCATACCTCGTTACTAAGACACCCAATATCGCTGCAGGTTCTGCCATATTCTGAAAAATATATAAAATCGTTAAATCGATCATTCGAATCATCCAGGTCCATATTCATAGATATTAAAAATTCGTATAACATTGATAAAATCGCTTTGGACGTTCCTCAAACCGGTTAACCTTGACCCCAGTCGATTACGACCATAAACAGTAAAACGTCAATGCCGCGAGAAATCGTCCTCGACGCAAAATCTCTCTCCCATCCAAAGCCGTGCACGCGTTTCCAAAATCGGCTGAAGGGTGAACGGAATTTGCAGGACCACTGAAAATTCCCAAGATATCCGCATGAAGTTGGATGAAAAGGAATAAAAAATATCTCAAGGTCCTACAAAGCATGTAAGGTCGGTGTAAGATAACTTCGAGTATTCCCAATAAATTGCTAGATATAAACCCGCTGGACTCCTACAACGGAAGGCAGATGGTGATGCCACTTTTTTTTATCTCTCCATAGCTTTATACTGCATCGTTGACCTGACGGTGCGACAGATATGAATACAGCCATAGAGTCAGCTGTTTTATGTAAGGGCGTTCCTAAAAATAATGAGATCGACCGAAGCTCGGCAATATACCAGGATACGTTTGCCCCTGCAGAACGACGACCAAACCCATAATGCAGCTAATCGTAATTTTATTTGATCGTCCTTGGGTATAAACTGATCAATTTTCAATTATCGACGCCACCGCGTTGACCACCGCACCCAACCGTTCAGCGTTGTCGACGTCGTTCTGCTCTTCGGTGTCGTTGTTAGTGACGTCATTGTCGTTCCCCGTCATCCCCGCTTTCGTCATCCCATTTGCAACGGCAGAACCCCTTTAAAATTTTTTTTTCTTCCCCACGTCCTCTTGGCAACACTCTTATTATACCTCAAGAGGTGTGGCTAATGAATACAACAATTAGGTACCTACTTGCTCACCTGAGTAGCTACTTGTATGAATGGTAGTTAGGCAGCTAAGTATACGTACCTACTCGAGACAAATGAAAACGTACCTTGTTTAACCCTAGGACAAAGTAATCTAGTACCGACGCTGACTAATGCGTGGATTTAAACTCAATTTAATATTCGTCCTAAGTCTGTGAGGAGGACGAAGACACGTTTCGTGTAGATGGTCATGAAAGAAGGATCGTTACGTGTTGTTGCGCAATGATAATCATAACAGAAGGATAGTGAAAATAGTCAGTGGATATAGTGTTGGTTTTAATGTGACTAGGTAGTGCCTAGTCACAGAGAACAGGATATGATTTTTTTTTACATTGAATAAACTGTATATGATTTTGAATTGGTATTACAACGACGTATAATCGAGTTCGTAGAAACGATGTAGAATTTTTTTTTTTTGCTAATTAGCGCATTAGTCGGCTTCCCATAATGGCGTGTCTTTTATCACGACAACGCTATGTGGTTTTCTTGTGTATATTGTTAAGAAATTTAGGAACGGCCTAGAGCGACTGAGTCACTGCTACGAAATTCAAATTAGAGCTTGTGCGTTCATTGAGATTGAACGGTTTGGTGAGTTATTGAGTTGAGAGAATATTCGATTTTTTATATATGGGATAACGTGGGATGACTTACTGGAGTAGGCAGTGGCGCCGGCCAAGAAAGCAAACAGGAATAGCGTTCCGACGCTACCTAGCGTCCTCGAGAACATCTGGAAATGAAGGGAAAAAAAGAAGAGTTAAAGTACAGAAAATCAATTGTCTTAACTGTATTTAATTAGTATTGGTGTTCAGTTGAATTTTAATAAACAATATTATTACAGAATGATATAGTATGATAAACATCAATACTATAAGAGTTATGTTATAAAGATAAAGTGGAGGCCACCGAAGTATGTAGAATTCAACAAAAGGCCACCAAGTCCAACGACTTCCGGGGGGGGAATTGAAATCCACTATGAGTACTCAAGAGCAATGCTGACTGAAGAATGATTAATCATTTCGTCTTTCACTATTTTGTTACCAAAGATTCCTTCTAATTTCTTCGGGTCTGACTCACGATTAGCTACGCGTTTTACAACGAGAAGACTATTGCGACCATGTGGGAAAAATAAGGCCGCATATATGATCGTTGAAAGGGAAGATTTCTAAAAAAACATTTCACGGAATACGACGCTATAAATAGAGACGAACGTAAATATAGTTCACGCAATCAGAAAAGAAACATAGATTCGTGTTACGAAAACAGCATGTAGTTTGCACTATCGCTACACTAATATTGACTAATAAAATTCTGAATAACAGAGAACTTATCGGAATAGAAGTCAATAACAAAAAGCCAAGGCTGTCAAAAGTGTCAAGAAAAATTATAAACTACGGAACAACACGATTACCAAAAACTGGAGCACAACAAATAAAGGATACGAAAATAATCTAGATACGCTACTGGCAGACCGCAATGCACGACGGTTCGGAGACGTGACGCCGTGGCGTAAACACTGCGTATAATACGAAGAAACGAAACGCACCAACGATTCCATAGGAAATAGATTCAATCGCACCGAACGTTTGCTTAATAAATTATCAGACGGTGCTAACAAGCTGTCAAAATGGCTGACGCGTCCTGTGACAGTGAGTGTTGAAGCGTAGCTCAAAGAACGTTAAACTCGCGATTACATTAGCACTACGTACCTTAGCGTCCGAGCGATGATCTATCCTACAGCAAAGTTACTGTGACACTGAGGCAGTTGGGTGGTGAAATTCAGCATGGCTACCGAGAGGCCCGTGCGTATGTAGCTACGAAGGAGAGGGAAGGTCACGGTTTCTCGATGGAGAAACGAGGAGAATAGCGACTGCGAAATACGAGATGGAGAGAGAGGGAGAGTGAGAGAAAGAAAGATGGAAGCCAATAGTGCGAGAGAGTTGAGAGACTACGTCACGATGATCGTGTCTATAGTCCGTTATAGACTACTGAGCGGGAATAGGGATTATGGAGCTACGCGAATGGCCACGCTATAGTATATGCACGGCTGGGTAGGAGATATGGGTTTGTGTTGTGTCTCTTGATATACGGATACGTGCTTTGGTGAGTTCAGTGGCAAGTGCTTATAGAAAAGGCTATTATGGACTTGGAAAGACACTGTTATTTTAGTAGGGAGAGACAGAGAGAGGCATATGACGTGGGGAAAAGGTCGCCTATGGATGCTGAAATGTCAAAGGAGGAGAAGGATCTGGAAAAAGGTTAGGGGAAGAGGGAGTGACGAAAGGGGAGGGTGGATACTGTTAGATTATTTTGAAACTGTCAATTTTTGTGATTATCAGTTTTTACATTTACGATTTTATTCGTGGAAGGAATATTCGAGAGATCTCTACCAGCGCGACATCTGCATTGCGCCGTCTAGAACGTGGTACGTCATGCTTTAATGACGTTTGCGAAGAACTAGTGATGTCACGATTATAAATGAGCCGTCGTATGGCGAGAGGATGGATGGGTTTAAACAGACCCATGATAGCTAATATTGACGTGCTTTAAGAGTATAAAGATAGATGGTAATCAATGCATATCGGAGCTTCGTCGTAATTAGATATAGGAGCGCCGGCTGTGTCGAATGATTTAAACCTACAGTGCGCGCCATGATGCATATATGCACTCTCGATAGATTTCATTAAAATCTTTGTATTTTTTACGATGAAAACGTGAGAATAAAAGTAAAAAATAAAAAATTGCGCATTGTCGGGTTGGGTTATCGATGCTCGTGAACGACGCCTCGTAAATGTTGCCTTGTTATTACGTTCGAATATGCAAAATGCCGATTCTGCTGATTGAAACTTGCTCGAATTCCAATCGAAACGGCAGTCAGGCTATTTTTTATTCCATTTCGCCACATGCATATATGCACTTTTCTTACTCCCACGGTTACAAAATACACTGCACAGATAACTTAGTATATAGACATAGAAGTAAATGCATTGACTAGTCTCTATCCACGTACATATGTAAGCTTAGCTCTTTGACGCTGAAAGCACAGTCGAGTAACAAAGCTTTTTCTATGTTAAATAAATCTGATATACTAGTGCACACGTAGTATAGGCTGCAATGAGCTTTTGCATTTATGACAAGCAAAAAGTGCATAGACTATAGCAGACTGTAGGTATTCAGGTACGGACGTCACGAGATTCAGGAAGCACTGTGCTTTACTCGCGTCTGATTTTAAGTACGTTTACGTAAATTCACGTGTTTTTTACTCAAGAGACGTAAGGATTCTGCTAGGTCGGTACGTTTAATGGCGGAAGCGCCATGAGCTTCGGTTCCACTTTGCGTCTGAACGTACAAGAAGCAAAAAATGATTTCGCATGTGCGAGGAGTACCATAAAGTCCCAAGGGAATAATTCCAAATTTTTTTTAGGTCGCCCAAGAAGATCACGGAAGTACTTGGAAAAAAACTTTGCCAATCCGAAAAAACCGGAAGCGACGTCAGAGTCATCTGATCGTGGGACTGGTATGAATTTGTTGGATCCACGTTGAAAATCTTGACAACCTAATCTCCAGTTGTTCTTATAAATTCCAGGGAACCTGGTGCGACGGTGTCCTGGCCAGGACAAAGGAATAAGATAGCCAGGACGACGTCTTGTGATATATCGTCGGGCGTCGCTACGGAGTATAGGAAGGCGTCGCCAAAGGGTATTGGAGAATACGAGAGGAACTATCTAGGGAATTGCCCGAGTCTCCATTTTCTTTTTAATAAAAGGATAACCAAGAACGGATCGGAAATTGACCGGGACATCGATATATGGATCGGCGTCCCGACGCCTTTGTACGCGTCCAATACAAAAAGAGCCTTAGTTCAGAAATTGTATTCTACCGTGAAGTATCTATCAAAGGAATCTTCACCGTCGGTAACCTAACTGTGGCGCTAGTTTTCGGCCTATGGAAGTTTCGTTACCGACCGAGTCAAATATCCACGGCCATTGGGTCACCTCAGAAAGCCAAGAGAGAGAGACGACGCTCGGCGTCGGGCAACTGGTAGAAGGAATCATGCGCGTAGGAACTTTCGCTGGATGGAAGCGAGTTGTAGGCGCGCAGGGAGCGTCTAGGCGCTATCGGCGTTGCGGCGCTGCGACGCCTGGCTATAACGGTGGTTCGCGGCAGGCGCCAGGCTGAGGAGGAAAGGGATGACGGCGCTGTGACGGGCGTCGACCGCAGCAAGCGTAGCTAGTCGAATTCACTGCCGCGACCGGGCAGCATCTACGTACCCCGGGGGTCCATACTTTCATATCTTATCCGTCGCAAAATCGCTCATACTTCACGTTGAGGGTGAACCTTAAGAAAATTTTGATCCTACGCTTTTGATATACGGCCAGGAGACTTTCATCCGAATTTGGAGAACTTTAGTGATCTGGTTTATGCGAGCGTTAAGGGAAACAAGCTGAAAGCTAAGGATGAATCAAAGCTACGCAGCATCCTTAGGATCTACGAGGAGATTAGATCGAGATGAGAGCTGGAGATCTTTCGGATCTCTCAAACTGCTTTCAAAGAGACTGGATTGTCGCCGGTACCATGATCTCTAGAGATTTAAGATCAGGCCGTGTTTTCACGTGTAATTTAACTCGCTACGGTGAATCGCGATCAGGAACAAATTGTCGCTTCATAGAAATCGTTATTCGTAGAAAGATCGCGTTACGCAATCCGTCTGTTATAATAATATATAGTAAATGACTCGGACCTGGTGTCGCTCAATGGAAACGGGTTTATCCTTTGTAAAAACACTGTTAAAGACTTCAGAGTTCCTTATGCAAATCGTTCGCGATTTAACGTTGCCAATCTACAATTCTTAGAGCAGCCGTGCCAAATGAAACTGCTAAAAAATTTTTACATTCTTTCTCTATCGTTAAATCATTTGCTCTTTTGATTTTTTCGCAAAATTTTCAAAATATCGCTCACAACCCGTAGTTACTACTGTGAAATAAAACTACCCCCCTTTATCTGCAGTTTACGTAACGACCAGTGTTGACAAATCTTGTGTACAGTGCAACTGCAATATTCATCACGGTGGACCAGGAACGAGAAGAAAAAGTGGTGAGCTTTTTTTAATTTATATAATCTGCAGGTAAACAAATTTCCACCAGGTATCTATATACAGCATAACAGGAAGATGCATGCTGGTACTAAAATTTGAATATTCATCTCGGTTTATCCTAAAGACCTTTGGCAGTGAATACAGGGGAGGAAACTTGAGGGTGGCGATGACAATTTTAACGTCACGTATAAACGCTGCGAAATTATATATTATTTTGAAAAAAAAAATATGCCACATCCAAATTCAAATGGTGCAGGATAAATGCACATAGAGGAAGTGCAGTTACGTGCATCATCTGCACTTTATGCAGCAGGTCGATTTTCCAGGCCACAGGTGCACCCTTGAATTATTCCAGATGAATATGTTTGGGACCAGCCAGTGATTTTACAATTTTTCACTAGAGCCAGAGATTCGAAAGGTACATCCACACGGAAAAACCGTACCCTCTCTATAGTAATGCCATCTGGTATATAAATCGGTCCCAGTTACGAAGCTTACACGGCAGCCATTGATATCCGGAAAATATATTATCGCTTTGAATAAAATGATCATTGCACACTATTGGGTTATAGAGAGAGAATAATAAATGGTCATCGATGTATAGATATCGTAGAACGGTCATTAATTTCTGGCGCATACCGATATGGTTAACGCGTCGAAAATAAACAATGCGAATCGCATAACCGGAACAATCGTAATTAGCCGCATTGGGGGAGAAATCGCAAGGGACCGTGACGCAACAGCGGATTTAACGTGGAACAAACATTTGACATACAGGGTGTCCTGAAATTGCCGCACGCCGACCATATTTTAGTATTCTCGAAGTGAAATTAAACGACAAGTTCAAGGGCAAAAATGTTATATGATAATTAGTTTTCGAGATACAAGCATATAAAGTTGACCAATCACGTGACAGCAGCGAGGATCAAGGCATTGGACTTCAGAAACTGGACTTCAAAGTATCAATATGACTTTCTGGGTCTATTGGAAAAAATTGAAAAATATAATGACTCCGGCGATTGGTCAAACAAATTCAAATGTGATCGCACGTATGTTGCATCTGCGCTTCACGTCTGTCAGACTTCGGCAAGGCTTTTCTTAAGACGTTCCCAAAGCACCTCAGGCACAGAAGCGGAAGTCTAGCTGAAGTCTGACGGGTATGCAGCACGGTGTAACGTAATTGCAGCTGCAATTGAATTTACTTCATCCGAGTCATTTTTGACACCAGGTATAGTCGTATATGTTTAACGATAAAATCGTGATATCCATGGAACAGAAAAGAATGTTTATTCTCATTCCTTGAAAGCAGCATTTATAACTGAAGAGTGCGCACTGTGCAGGCGACATGAAGATCTGATGCATCTTACATGCTATGCAGTGGATGCTGTACGCGTAGATGTCCCTGAGGAGGTGCCATTTTGACGGCGTCGTCTAACGTCCCTCGCTGTACCATGTCTCACCCTCTGACTTTTTTTCATTCTCTTTACCCCCATCTATATTCCTCAATGTTCCTTTTCCTCAGCATCCGACGGCGTCTTGAATAAAAATGAACGTCGCCCGACGCCCTGGAGGATCAGCGCGACGTCGCATCCTCCACGAGGTCCGTCCTAGGATCGCAAAGGAACGATTCAAATTGAAACTTGTTCATACGACACGAGATACGGAAATTACGATCTCGAATTGTAAACCATCTTGATTTCCGGTCCCGTTCGATTGGCTTTACTGCTACCAATTGGTCCCTTCCTGCCCATCTAGTTTCCTTGGTTACTTTTTTTTTTCCCCCTTTTCTGAAATTCCCTTTTATTTCCTTTTGTCAAATGTCCCTGGATATCTGCGAAACGTATTTTCATCTCCCGTGAGGGACACGGGAGATAGGGTGGTTCCCGAAGGAGATGAGATAAAAATTTTAAACTGCGCGAAGGCGTCCCTAGGGAATTTACCTGACGCAGTATTTAAGCTTGTCTTAAGATATAGTCTGATTTTTTTCCCTAGATAACAAAGAATTTCTCCTACTGTACTATCGGTACTGTTAACTTTGAATCTCGCAGTCACTCGCGCCTTTCTACGTGTTACACGACCGCAACCATTTTGCTTGGTACCGAAATTGCGAACGTTTAATTGCTACTGCATTGCGCAAAGGTTACAAGCAGGGCTTGAAATTTTACGAGTAGTAAAAATGAATTTGGCAAATTTTTTTTTAGGTCCTAGTAGTATAATTTTTTCCTTTTATTCTTTTTACTCAGTTCTTCTCTATATTCCGCCGTTTACCTCTTCTTCCCTCTGTATCTCGCATCACGCAAAGGCAGCCATTGCTCCACGCCGGGAACTAGTCTCAAAGAATTTCGAAGTTCCCCGAGCACACAGATCGCTCTTCTCGCTCGCTAACTTTGCTACCGTAAAATGCACTGCTCATTCAGCGGGTTATCGTTTCAAAGTGGCACTCGGCGGTCTCTTTAACTATTCTCTAAAATAGTTACAAACTGTAATATCGCCGAGACTTGTATAGCCAATCGGACTACCAAGGAAAGTGCATTGGACTGACGAGAGAAATAAATTGAATAAAGTTCGAGAAGTAAATGAAAAAATTTTCAAAATACGTTTACAATTGTCAAACCAATACAGCTTTCGGATAACGAAAAAAAAAAAAAAAAAAAAAAAAAAAAAAAAAAAAAAAAAAAAAAAAAAAAAAAAAAAAAAAAAAAAAAGAAAATTGAGATAAATTGGGAAGCTCTGATTTGCCATGCGAGTAGAACGTAGGTGAAAGTTGTAGTGCGAGTGTTTAAAGTTAGACTTTCGATAATTAGTCGGATGACCCGTGGAAAAAAGGAGAACGTTGATAACAGAGGAAAGGAGATTCAAAATTGGAAAAAGAATGAAGAAGATAGAAGAAGGATCTTCTGAAATGGGCCCCTACCCGTTCAGTTCCGTGAGGTCGTACCTCTCCACGAAGGAGCCACGACCCCCCCCCTCCCCCCGAGATCCGACGGAGGACCGTGTTTTGGGGGTTCAGGGAAAAAAGCCCCCCAGTCCTGAGATGTCTGCGTTGAAGAGACCAGGGGAAAAATCTCAGGAACGAAAGGAAGCTGGACCAGGCGACAAGAAAGACGCAGAAGGTAAGCTAAACGCGAAAGCCTCTCGTATCCGACAGAGACTTTAATCAAAAGAACCGATACTACCTCAAGTGAAGCTAACCCAGGAACACGAGCAAAGGCAGCCACTTTGCCCAGAGCCAACGGACCCTCCGACCTCCTACCGACACGTAGGTCTCCACCCACACAAGTGCTCAAGGGTCAGCGACGTCTTGCAGCGTTTTCAGGAAAGCGAACAAAATATAGTACAATCGCGAAAGATAGACACCCGGCTAGATTGACTGCTCGCAAGATGGTCGTAGCACCCTAAGGCTGCTTAAGACCCCCGTCGGGAGGTCCGGAGAGACCATATTGCGACCACAACCTGGGCCAGACCTCCTGAGCAAGCTCAGCAGATGAGACCGAGGGGCGACCCCCGTCAGCACAGTCCACGTGCGTCTCTCTAACAGAATGAACTACCCTATTATGATTACTCGAAGAAATATGCTCGGCCTAACCAAAGAATTAAGAAAAATAAAGCGCGCACAATGAAAATAAACGAGAACGGAACAGAAGGAAGCAGGCAGAAAGAAAGAAATAAGGAAAGCACAGAAAGAATCACGAATTAAAAAAAAGAAAAGTAGCAAAGTAAGGAACACGGGTGTAGGACAAAACAAGAAATAAATATGGAAATAAAAGGATACAAACGAGTAAAACAGGAGATGGTCCAAGAGGCCGATATGGGCGCCCACTCGTGGAAGAATGACCGCTCTGAGCCTGAGGAATCCCAAAAGTGTCTCCCCCGCACACCCCGCGGCTTCTGCGATAGTATAATAAGCAGATATGTGACCTATGTACCTGGCACTAATATGATTTCAATACTTCACGTTAGAGGAATTCACAGCTCCTGTACCTGACATGATCATTTACACGTAAGTGTTTTTTGAGGTTATCCTTACGGGACTCCATTATGGAACACGCGACCAGGCGTCGTTTGAGTAATACATACATTTTTGCTCCCGCAGCTTCGAGGAGAAAAGGAATGTCTGTTATTCGTAGAAACGACGCATCCATTATGCAATATCACACACGTCACAGGGCGGAAGATAGAAATATGCAAATTGGAGCAGAGTATTTTCTCGAATGAAACCTGTATCTACAGTCGACTCGATGCCAATAAAAATCGACAGGGTTGTAAAAAAAGGTCTCACTCGATTCCTTTGATAACACTCGGCTACTGTTCTCGTACGTGATCTCTCGTAGTGACAACACGACAATGAGTTCAGTCGCCGATTGAGAACGATTTTCGTGTAAATTGACTGAAAAGCTTTGTCTGAAGCAGAGACACTGGCTACTCGGAAATCGGAATGAGGCAGAGTTCAGTTTGTTCTTGGTACATCCTATGGACCGTGTAGTGTTTGCTGTACAAAAGGTATCTGCAGAGACAGGAGACGTCTACTTCCTGTCCCTCTCGTGTCGTACCACGTGTGCTTACCGTGTATATTGCTCGGAGAATCGTATCTCTCTGAGAGGGGAAGGATTAAATCCAAGAGGATCAGAAGTACGTGATAGGCGGAAGTCTCAAAGTCGGGATGCTGGCTTATCGATTATTCAATCGAAACTCTACATTCGTATTGTGAATTACGTAACGTTAGTACATTATGCCGTATACATATTCAAGCGCAGAAATGCAAATCCGTAGCACATGGAGATTTTCCGTCATTGAAATGGTCCGGAGTTTCTATAGATTTAATGAACGGGATCGGAATACAGGACGGGATACAGTCCTGTTGTTACATTCAGATGTAAATGATCCTTCGAATTTCGTGGATATTCCTGACATCGATCATTAGACTTCCTCGGGAACGTTATCGGGACAGTGAATTATGAAGGATACGGTTATCAATCATCGTTATCACTGAAACTATTTTACATGACGTTTGGATAATTTTAATTTTCATAATTCCCTATTCGAAATTCATATATGGCGGGGTAACCTGTAGACAGTTATTTTGAGATTTTTGGAAATATCGAGGCAAGTATGGGTGTAAATTTTGCGAACGACGAAAGAAATCTTGAGATTTATCAGAACCGGTTCACTGTTCAAGATCTATCATAAGCTGTACTGGCGTCGTGGTTGTTCGGGATGCTGGGGGTTGCTACGCTCATCAACTACGGGAAGCGGAGAAATGGTAAATCACGGGCGAACGGCCGAGACATGTACATTAGTTCCCAAGTTGGAGATTGATGAAGTGGTTGCTTCTGGAGGATCCTTGTAACTATCCGGTGCAGCATCCCTTACGGATGGACCAGAAGCAGGTAAAAGTTTATTTTTGTCACTGGCCTTTGAAAAGGAACGCTTAGCATATATTAAAACCCTCCAATAAAAACTAGGGAATTTATTTATATTTCATTTTATTCAAAGCACTGATTGTACTTTGATATTTTGATCTTTTATCTTTTATCTTTCAATAGTCGGGTATCTTTGCTCACGCGTATTTTAGGGTATGCAAGAGTGAATGGTACTAGGTATACAATGCTTGGGTTGGTCCTGCTTACTCGGAGGCAGACGAATGCGAATAACTTTGGTCATTTTATGACAAACTGTGTTGTCTCCTTCCTCCTCGTACAGCTACTAGGGACATTTCATTTCTGTCAGCCATCTAGGGACATTAGCATAAGTGATATGGTTGTACATATACGCTAGTCGAGAGATGTCCAAGCATTGTCTAGTTATGGAAAGCAGGGTGGTATGGTATGCTATCAAGCCTTGTTATCTTTGTTAAATGCGTACGATGAGTGGTCATCCCTGAAAAGGGTTGAGGGATGTTCTTGTGGGATAAATAAAAGTATTGAGAAACATACTAGGGAATTTGGTATATAATTCTTGTCTTTGTTAACCCTTAACTTACGTCGTGGGTCCTGGGACCCATGTCAACGGTACCAATGTATACAGTCAGTCAGTAAAAACGCAAAATTTTGATCACATCAATTAAAGGTTAAGCATGAATTTTCGGAATTCTAGGAAATTTTCGAAATTACTGTCAGACACTTTTTTTCAAAATTTATTCTACATTTTATATTGTACCGTATGTATAGGGTGTATAAAAATTAGTGAATCCGATGGACATGACTTTAAAGTAAAAGTAGACTCTACATGACTCTACCGGGTTACACGATACTACTGATTTATATTTGAATTTTCAAATTTTTATTTTCCGAGCTTCCTTGAACTTAAAGGATATAGTACTCCGAAATATTTGGTCAACCACCATTTCTTCATTTTGATTTTATTTCTGCGAATCAGCTGAAAGAAAGTATCCGTTATTCCACGTTGTATATAGTGAACGTCTCCCACTAATTTCAAATTCCCTGTTGTAGCTGAAAAATAGAAATAAAAGAAATTCAGATTTTCTCAGGCACTAGTTCAACTAAAGTGGTACTTCAGTTGTCGCTTCGCTCCATAGGCTAATGTTTACCTGGTTTTACAATAAAGCGCTTTGCGACCGAACCGAAATTCATTTTTACCGATTACCTTTTAAGTGACTTATAAATGCCACCATCACGCACTACACCTCTTTATTTTGCGACACCCTGTATTCATTCATTCATATATATCAACAGAAAACCAAGGAAATCGACTGGGAGATTTTCTCAATATCCCATTAGAATTCAAGAGTTACGGCCTGTTGAATACGATCATAGAGGGTGTCGATTGTGGAACATATGCTTTCATGACTTGTTCCAATACCAGCCGTACATACTTCTTATACTACATACATACTTTTGCGATTGATATACAATTTAGAATCATTGATAAAAGTAGCAGCATTGCGAATGTAGCTGTATATAGATGAGCTGAATATAGATGAGCCTTTGTCAAACACATATAAAAAAATTTCGTAAATAGGAATGAAAGCTCTGAAAAAGCTTAGGTGCAGGAAACAAAAATTCTGGATATTTTTTGCGGATGTCTCTTTATCATAAGCTTGTATGTATATATAGACATATACATAATACACGTATAAGCGCCAGTGGTTACGGCCGGTTGAAACTTTATTGGCCAGACGAGAGAAAAATGTTTGCGCTTTGCCAAAGAGCTTGAGATTGAGGTGTAGAGGGGCGGAAAGGAAGAAAGGTTTGAGGCGTAGCATGTAGAGGGTCTGCCATCCCTTCTTTGATACGGGTAGAATTTAAGCATGCTATTGTACTATCTCTATACTCATAAAAAGCTCTTGACTTTATCTCGAAGCTTTATTCTACCAAAGATGGAAGATATTGGTTGCGAGGCTCGGGCAACGTGTGATAACGCGAGGGTGCATAGAGAAAAGCTGCAAAGCTTTTACCTCGCGTGAGGATTGAGCTGGGGGTGTGGTTTTCATCCCTGTCAGCTCTCACATCTTACTAGATTCCGAATGAAGGGATTTATCATATTTTTTTCCCTTGTGGTCCCAATACGAAAAACCTTATTGGGTTTTTTATTGGTTTTTTCGAAAAATAATTCTTTTCTAAATTATTTTCTGTGTCGAAATTTAAGCTCTACTACGAATCTTTAATATTTCGAAACACATTTTTGCCTCTGGATAGTATCCGTAACTCCTCCAGCGTCAAAATTTTTCGTTAAAGCTTTCGTTAAAGCTTCAAAAAGGGGGCAGATTTTGGATTTCTCGCAATTGGAAGACGTTTGAGCTTTAAAGGAGGTGCTCGATATTATTTGTAACAGTTGGCAATGCAGCGTTAAATTTCATACTCGTCCTATTCGATCCCAGCTTGATCAAATAAATTTAATTGTTCTCTCCCAGTTGTAATTGGAGATGCAAAACAGCTGTAAAATTTGACACTGGACTACGTAGAGACAAAACTAGGTCCAGAAGGGGTTAGTGATTCAAAGTACAATGTTAAATTTGGACTTGGATGCCCCTTTTCTTTCGTCCCTTAATAAGCCCAGATGTCCCGATACTCAAAAGTAGTTAGCGGACTAAGAAGAAGTCAAAGTCGAGAGCTAACCGGTGGGACGTTAAGTTTTAATGACGAAATTTACGTAGCCCTAAAAATGTTTCTCACAAGTCGTCTCCCTAAAAATGTTTCTCTCGTCACGACGAACTCGTAACAACAACAGTCCTTGTTGGGAAACTCGGTAATTTAAATTTTACGCGGAACCCACCCCCGAGTCGAAAACACGAAAAGCTCCGAGCTTTCAGTCATGCGACTTTCTCAAGTTGGTATGCCTTAGTAAAATCGTAAGACTGGTCACTTTATTAGCTTATATGATACATGGGAAAGAATCTGGTAATCGTCCTTACTTCATCCCCTATACCTCAATCGCGCCCCCTGGATTTTATAGAGTCGCATAAGAGGCTCAGGGATGATAAATCGAGCTTCTGAAAAGCTCGACATCTTATCTAAGGGATGAAACGACAGTGGTGAATTTGAAAGATCGACAGATTCGCCATTGAGAATATGATCGGTCATACTGAGCTTGCGAATGACAGCTTGCACGATGACACGACGAACGACAGGAACGCGTAAACATGTTTTGCTCGTTAAACCTTGTCCTGCGAACGATACAGAAATTGAGAAAAATGAGGAAGAAAAAGAAAAAGCACTAAGAAAATACGATAGATACATAGAAGAGCTTTTATTCCGCCGGGGGTACCCGACCCGATAGAAATTCGATTATGTTTCTAGATTTCGATAGGGTGTCTACCTATACGGGTACTTCATGAGCTTGCAAGCTCCATCGGAATCGGCTTAGTTGAATTACGTATATCTGTAATTTCGACGAGATCCTTAATCGACTTTAATCGAGAGATAAAATGAATTATCCGTCCCGACATCTCGACGCGGCAGAATCGCATGGCTGAGCTTGCTGATACATTTTGAACTTGCGACTGTAACGAACACCATTGTGTACGAACGCTTTGGGTGTATTCGGAGTCAGGCTAAAGCTTCGTGCACATGCTCCGCGTAGCTGGGAATAGTCGCGAATTATGTGAACCGGTAGTCAACAGTTTGGCTGTTCCATTGCGACGATTCGTTTCGCTTCAGCGGGGTTGCCTGAGCTTTAAGCACTGATGCCGAATGCGGTATTTAATGCGAGATACATGCATCGATGAATAAAAGCTCGGGAGAGTAATCACTTGATCTTTGAATTCTGAAAAAAAAAAGAAAACGTCATGGGAGTGGTAGGTGGAAAGGGGAAGGGTGAAACAGTTGTAATTTAATTTAATCGACGGTCACCGACGATACGTTACACGTACCGATACGCAAAAGCACAAAAGCTTCTTTTCACTCGGGATTTTCTTCTCGAAGCTCTCGTGCGTCTTCGGGCAACTTCGGCCTTCCAGGAAATCGAACCGAGAAAGTTCCAAGGTCGATCCAGCTAAATGCGACGTTTGCTTTGGATTATTTATTTCGCAGGGGGTTTCGTCTCTATTGTTTTTTTTTTGTACGAAAATTCAATATTGCTGCAGGCAGCGTCGCGACGCTGTAAAGATCTGTGTGTAGGGCGTATTTAGAAGAAGCATATAGAATCCTATAAAAACGCGCACTCGTTTAACTCCGTGAATTTACGAGCAATTGCCAATACTCGTTGCTTCAAACTCTGTTCATTTTACCTCGGTGCAAGTTTTTTTTTTTTAAATTATCAACCACGAAATCTTTTTTTTTTTACGTTTGCCAAGCGATTCGCAGCCACGTCCATGTATAAGCTGCACAGATTTCGTTCCGTGTCTCTGACCCAGGGATTTCGTTAATGCGTTTCCAATAGACGTATCGCAGTGCGTACTGGGTGATTCCACTCGGTTCCAAAAAAAAAAAAAAAAATTTGAAAACCAATGACCCCAAACCCATGTACCCAATCGATTTCCATGATTGCGTTCAGTGCACTTTCGACATGAGTTCATCACGGACTTCATCACGGGTACCTTCTGTAAGAGAATCATGAAAGGTCAAAAAAAATTTACCAAATAGAACTATCTCCTTTAATCTTAACCAAAACCCGTGCAGTATCCGATATTCTATTACGGCCGGCACGATCGATTTCCTCTTGAAAATCGATCCATCCTACATCGTACACCAACAGGTATAAATTCCACCACCATAACTCTCAGATAAAAGAACCCAATACGTACGTGAATACCTTGTTGACGTACCATCCCTTACGATACCACTTTGACCTAAGCCAATGAAAAAAAACCCAGGAATACCGGAAACTGAGACTCGTCGAGATCATCTACGCTTCCGGTACCTGTACTGCGAAACTTGATTCAAATGAACGTAACAAGGATGGATCGGCGAACTGTTACTAATTGCGGTTC